ATCAATCATCAACGAACAAAAAAAAAAAGCAGCCGCCGCCTACACGCAAGATGAGAGATATAAATGAGCATTTGCATCTAAATCGGTAATGCAATCACACTGGGATCTATTTTGGCTGGGACCGTGCACGGGTCCGTTCGCGTGGTGACGTCTGCGATATAGACACGGGGGCGCGTCGCTGTCACCGAACGGGCTGCCCGCGGGCTGATAAAGAAACGTTATGAATGGCGTCGTTAAGGTGCAGGCAGATAGCGCGACTGCCTCTTTGCACGTGCTGTGATCTGTGGTCGCACCTGCGAAGATGCCGCAGTGTAAAATGCATTATTTATAACTAGGGGTTGCGAGGGGGCGCCTATGGCCTATGACGCTCCCTCACAATCATTTACGGCCTTCGGCCAGAAAAAGTCACGAAAAAAATTGCACACAAACGACGCATTCACGCAAGCACCCGATGCTCCGTTTTGAAGCTTTAAAATGAAACATCTTTGAATTGTATTATGTTTTGAATGAGATAATTGTATTTCTTCATTAAAAGCTTATATAATTTTACATCTGAAAAACTTCATTGAAAAGGACATTTCGTGTGAATTTTCTCTCGTCGTTCAGTAGATGATGGCCTTGCTGGGGGTTCGGTTCGACGCGGACTTTCACCTGTTTGGGATTGCGGGATCGAGATAAGGCGACGTAGAGCTGCTGGCCGTGCAGATCGATTCCAACGTAATCGAACGTCTCTCCCTGCGCCTCCGTCGTTCATGCAGGGGACGCGTAGGTTTGCAGCGCCCCCTGCGTGAAAACGACGGAAAGTTCAGCGTTCATCACAGATAAAGTTGTGCGCTTATATAAGAGTATTGTCATTGTAGGTACTGGCCCAACATAGCAACGCGGTGAGCATTCTGGACAAATAAATACTAAATTTCGATTTAAAGCTTTCGTGACTGCAAGGATTCATCTTCTTTGGTTCTTTCGGTAAAGTCACGTAGAATGAGAATAAAATAATAAAATAAAACAATAAAATTCTCACGACGTTTCGGCCACAACACAAGTAACCGTCCTCAGGTGGAGAAACAGGACTGTCCAGAAGACAGCGCTTGAGTGAACCCTGTCAAGCTTGACAGCGTCTTTTAAGCTGTGTGGGAGGAACAGAGAGCCTTGACAAAGGAGCATGTAACTGGGAGATTAGCATTACGGAGAGCGAACGAGCTGGGACTGGAGGAGGGGGGGAGGGGAGTTTACATATAAATTAGCATGTAACTGGGGGATCAGCATGATGTTGGTGTGAGGGATTAGCACCACGGCGAACGACGAGCTCGGACCGGGGGACGGGGGGAGAGGAGTTTACATATAAATTACCATGTAACTGGGGGATTAGCGTTGGTGTGAGGGAGAGAAGAGCACCAAGGAGAGAAAAAATGGCGGTTTTTCCCATCTCAACAACCAGCACCAAGGACAGCGACATTCAGGCGGACGGGTCAATCCATACTCGGAAGGGAGGAGGGGGAAGGGAGAAACAGTCACAAACAGTCACAATGCCAGCGAAAGAGCTGCGGTCTGACGGTCACCGCAAAATACAATTAATTAAGAACCGAAATGGTTTAAAACATCTTTCCAATGGTTACTAAGCCAGAATCCATCCTCTCGGTTGAAATTGTCTCTGTGTTTGTATATGTGGATGGCTTCATGAACGAATCTCTCATGGTAGCCGGTTGGCTTGCAAAGAACCTCCGTCTTGGAGAAGTCAATGTCATGTGAACCCACTGAATTATAACAGTGATCTGCCACGGCAGAGGAGTTCGTCCTGCCGTGTTTCAAGTCTGCTTTATGTTCGCGGATGTGGTCCGAGATATGTCGTTTGGTTTCCCCAATGTAGTTGCTACCACAGAGGCACTTTAGTTTGTAAACGCCCGGGTACTGTATGTCTGGAACAGCATCTTTTACAGATGGAACCAGATCACGGATTTTATGTACTGTGTTGAATCGGACCTGGATCTTGTGTTTATTCAGAATTTTGGAGATCTTTTTAGTAACCCCTGTAATGTAGGGTAAGGTGATTGTTTTGAGTGGCTCCTCAAGAGGATCCTTCTTAACCATTGTAAAGATGTTTTTAACCATTTCGGTTCTTAATTAATTGTATTTTGCGGTGACCGTCAGACCGCAGCTCTTTCGCTGGCATTGTGACTGTTTCTCCCTCCCCCCTCCTCCCTTCCGAGTATGGATTGACCCGTCCGCCTGAATGTCGCTGTCCTTGGTGCTGGTTGTTGAGGAGATGGGAAAAACCGCCATTTTTTCTCTCCTTGATGCTCTTCTCTCCCTCACACCAACGCTAATCTCCCAGTTACATGCTAATTTATATGTAAACTCCTCTCCCCCCGTCCCCCGGTCCGAGCTCGTCGTTCGCCGTGGTGCTAATCCCTCACACCAACATCATGCTGATCCCCCAGTTACATGCTAATTTATATGTAAACTCCCCTCCCCCCTCCTCCAGTCCCAGCTCGTTCACTCTCCGCAATGCTAATCTCCCAGTTACATGTTCCTTTGTCAAGGCTCTCTGTTCCTCCCACACAGCTTAAAAGACGCTGTCAAGCTTGACAGGGTTCACTCAAGCGCTGTCTTTTGGACAGTCCTGTTTCACCACCTGAGGACGGCTACTTGTGTTGTGGCCGAAACGTCGTGAGAATTTTATTGTTTTATTTTATTATTTTATTCTCATTCTACGTGACTTTACCGAAAGAACCAAAGAAGAAAAAATAAATACTATTTAGTGGCTCCGTTTGGTTTTGTGGGCGAATAAACTAATGGTTTGATTTTAACGATCAGAACTTTGCGGAATGTGGTCTCTCAGTGGGGCGATAACCAGACTCAGGTGACTGCCAACAAACACAATGCTATAAACACATTTTTATAAGTAAACTTTCAAGACCATCATTATGATTCTCAATTAGTTTATTTCGTATTAGATCGTCGTGTAGTGTATAATGCCATTTCTTTTTTCTACTGTAAACCCTCGACCACCCGACAGACAATCACATCAAGTTGTCACATCATGGGCAAATATCAGACTAACAATATTTATTTATCCCAAAGGAATCCGATGAGCTAAACACGTTTTTTTCACAGATGTCCAATTTATTTGGTTTATCGGCAAACCGGCAGCATTATTGAAAAGTAAGCATAATTTTTTTCTCACAACGTTTGTCCGACGTTTCGCTGCAGATTACAAACATAGCAGTGCATTGTTACAGCCAGCACCATCGGGTCCACGCGAGAGCTCAGCTGCTGTCGACGACCTGATGATGCTGGCTGCAATCTCCAGCGAAACGTCGTACGAAACCGGGAAAAACTGCACGCTCGCATTTCAACATTCCTCCGGTTTTTGGTGAGATAACTTACGAAGTGAAACGCATCAGCAACAAAAAACACGTTTTGAACAATAAATGGGCCGTTATTTTTTTACAACTTTATAAAAATCTGCCTGTCATTTAAACGACAAAACAGCATTGAATTTCTGGGGTGGTTAACCCTAATCCCACCTCCACTGCAGCCCCAAAAACATACCACCCAGGTTACTCAGGAAACACACACGTCCACACCTCCACTCAACGCAGCGGTCGGTAGCCATGTGTTTTATGCTGTGTACTCGATCGCTTTGTGTCGGTAAAGGCGCATTGTGTATCATTATTATATTGTAGCGGTGATACAATATTATTATTGTAACAATAATAGCGGTGCCACAATAACAACGCATTTGTTTCGCGTTGTGCATCTGCGAGCTTTGTCACCAAGTGGGAGCTACATTCTCTCCCCACACACACACTTTTAACATTTATCCTGCACGGTATCCATGCCAAAGCCTGCACCCTCCCCCCTCTGGAAGTGGTGGGGGAAGGGGGGGGCCCAGGGGGGCGGTGGGGGTAGTGACGTCACCCACAGACAGAGGAAAACAATTTAAATACCCCATCATCCCAGTAGTGGAGGGAGTTAAGTATTTTTTTAATGCACAGGTCGGACCACTTTTCGGAAAAATAAAAAGTCTTTGACAGGAGCAAATAGGTTTTTAATTGGACGTACAAACCATGCCGAGGCAGCCCGGGTGGGTGTTGAGATATTACCGTTGCCACGTTCGCGACGGTTAGCACACGCGGAGGGGCCGACCGGCCGGAGCCGCATTTGGGCGTCACGCAATGACACCACTGGGACACCCAGGAAGTTTGAACAAAGTCGACAAGCGAAACGGTTTTCTCGTCGACATGCGAGCAGCGTTTTCCCTTTTAGCGGACGCAGAGTAATTGGGTGGAATCCAATGAGCTATGAAGCTCTTTGTCTCCGAAGTCCATAAAGTAAGGGGCGGGTTGTTGTGGTATTGTTGAAATGCCGAGACCGCCATTCAAAACGCGAGCAGCAGCAGCCGCGGCAGTGACGACATGAGCGGTGAGTGCGGTGCGAGCGGTGAGTGTGGTGAGTGCAGCTAGTACAGCGAGTGTGGCGAGTGTGGTGAGGGCGCAGCGACGTGTCCCGACCGCACGTTGATTCGTATGCTCATGATACGAGCGGCGTGTTTAACAATGCCCCGCGGTGCAACGCACAAACACCGCACGTCACACACCGTACGTCATACACCGCACGTCACACACCGCACGTCACACACCGTACGTCATACACCGCACGTCACGCACCGTACATCATACACCGCACGTCACACACCGCACGTCACACACCGTACGTCATACACCGCACGTCACACACCGTACGTCATACACCGCACGTCACACACCGTACATCATACACCGCACGTCACACACCGTACATCATACACCGCACGTCACACACCGTACGTCATACACCGCACGTCACGCACCGCATGCTATACACCGCACGTCACACACCGCATGCCACACACCGCATGCCACGCACCGCACGTCACACACCGCACGTCACACACCGCACGTCACACACCGCACGTCACACCCCGCACGTCACACCCCGCACGTCACACCCCGCACGTCACGCATCGCACGTCACACACCGCACGTCACACCCCGCACGTCACACCCCGCACGTCACACACCGCACGTCACACCCCGCACGTCACTTGTGGCGCTGGTAGAAGCGCGTGACGGCGATCTCCTGCTCGCGCGTCTCGATGGACCCCGGCCGGAGCCGGCGGATCTCGGCCACGGCATCCACCCCCGACAGTGCCCGGTGGCGCACCAGGAAGCACGCGAGCATGGTGCCCGTGCGGCCGTGCCCGTGCATGCAGTGCACGGCCACCGCCTGCATGCGCACACACATGCACACACATGCGCAGATATGATACAAAGACAAAGATCCCCCAACGTATCCTTCGGCAGGCCGCTGGGGCAAGGGCCCTCGGCGAGCACCTACGCCGGCAGGCATGGCGCACGAGTGGATGGTGTGTCCGGCGACATGCCCAGCCGCCTTTGTTTCACAGGTGGTGAAGTTTGCACCAACGCATAAAGGGTACTCATTTGTGTGACGTCGCTTTTGCTAAGCCTGAAGACAGCGTAAATAAATATAGTCAAGCTCGGTCGTCAATTTGATTTTAGCTTCAAGACGCGGTGCATTTCTGGCACAAATCTGCCACCCAAAGCGTGTGATGTAAACGCTAAAGAAATAACCAGAAATCGTCTGAACTAAAAAAAAATCGTTAAAAAATCTTATCTTATCTTATCTTCATTTAACCAAGGCAATGGTACAGCAAACCAGTGCGACAATGAGATGAGTTGATGAGAAGGATGACAGCGCGTGATGAATATGAAGATGCGTGAAATTAACAATGATATATAAATATATACATGTGCTGTTAAACCTGCAATCACCCGACACAGCCAATTAGTAAGGTTTGTCACGTAAACAGAACATTCCAATTCGTGGCCAGCCAGGCTGCTGTTATTATAATTTTTTTAATTACATTTAATTTAATTTAAAACACGTTGAGCAACACCAATGCAATGCCGCGTGGAAAATATTTGCAATTGAGAAGCAGTTCCTTGAACACCATCGATCGAAAACGGTAAAAATAAATGTTTTGGAGTAAGATCGCGTAAATATAAATGTGTCGTTAAACCCGCCACCACCTGGCACAGCCAATTAATAAGGTTTGTCACGTATACAGAATGCGGCAATTCGTTACTAGTATAGCACACCGGTGTGTTGAAGAGCAAAGCCACAACATTTACAATCTGAGTACGACTTTTCGCCAGTAATTACAATCAGCTTCATAAGGCGACAGCTAGATTTGTGGAAAAATCCTCCCGTTTTCGTTACTTAAATAGAGGGGTAGATGTGATGGCATCACTTGTGAGCACTTCACCTGTATTATGAACGGTGCTCTAACTGCGTAAAAGTCACGTGCAAAAGCATTCGCTAAATAGATTAACAAGGGAAGAACAGAAAATAGTGAAAAACGTTCCAATACGAAAACCCGTTCCTCCCCCCCAGCCCCCCCCCCCCCCCCACGCTGAACTACCTCTCCTTTGGCGCCGGCGTCGCTCACGATGTCGAGGAAACGTTCAATTTGCTCCGGCAATGGCGGATGGAAGTCCTCGATCTTGATGGCGTGTAGGCGGATGCCCGGGCACGTGTCGGCGTGGCGTGGCGCGCCGTGCGTGAGCGACACCAGGTGACGCACGCCGCACTCGTACAGGTATCGGTAGTGCGAGGCGTCGTGCGGCATGGCCAGGCCTGCCAGCCGGCCCGGTTCCACCCACGAGAAGTTCGGCGGAGCGGAGCCTCCGCTCGCCATGGCTGCCGACGACCGCTAAAAGCTCGGAGGCTTCCCTCTGCGCGCGGCATACGGACAGATTGAAAACTCCGATTAGCACGGTTGGCTACGTACGGTGCGAAAGAAGTTCCACATATGCACACCCATAGACTCAACAGTGCCCACAGACTCAACAATGTTCCATAGACTCAACACTGCCCACAGACTCAACACTGCCCATAGACTCAACACTCTCCCATAGACTCAACACTGCCCACAGACTCAACACTGCCCACAGACTCAACACTGTCCCATAGACTCAACACTGTCCCATAAACTCAACACTGCCCATGACTCTGTGTAAATGTATGATCACACCGTATAAACGTGCGCAGAATACGTTGTAGAGAATTGAAAATGTTTGTATGCGTGCCGTTACGGGGGTTTGCCAAGTGTGCGTTCCACTCGGCTCCCTACACGTCCTTGCGAAACGAGATGAACCATCTCACGGGAATTATCCGTGCGAAATATTACAATTAGTTAAAAGGTCACGATGAATTTGTACGATAAACCTACAGCATTAACGAACTCGTCAGGCACTTTGCGGGACAGTCTTCAGACTCGGAGAGACAGTGGTAGCTGATAAATATGACGACGACGATGACAACGACGATGACGACAATGATGACAATGCAGAGGATGTAATGATGATGACAATTTGTGATGATAATATTGATTATTCTAAGTGTGCAATGACAATAATAAATTACAATGATGTCGATGATGAGACTCAGAAAGAGGAGCCCGTTGAGCCAGGCAGCTCCACGGGCTTTGCTCGGCGACTCAGCCAGCAGACGCCTTCGGCAGCCACGAGACACCCCGTTACAAGTTATACACCCGCTTTAAAAAGAGAAAAAAAATCAACGACATTATCTTAATCGTACACATTTCCACAACGTCCTACATTCACGTAGAATCGCTACGGCGACGACGATTACGCACCGCCGATGTGCAAAGACGGGACAACGCGACAGCTGCTGCGAACTTCACTGCCCGACAGGAATAAGTAAAAAACAATACAGTAATATCGGGCGTCTCCTCGCCAACTTCGCGCGGAGGCAATCGGCGGCCGAATCCACCCTCCACGTCCAGGCAGGGCGATCCAAAATCTCTCACCCATCCCCCCCTCCCGGACCAGCGCCGGCGGAGGGGTTGCCCAAGGCAGCTTCACTCGGTGGCACAAATCTGGCTCTTGTAAACACCGGGGGGGGGGGGGGGGCACGCGGCCGAGATTGCCTCGCCGCCGCCCCCCCCCCACCCCGATTGTTTTTTCAGCTCAGCGCAGTTCACTTCGCTCTCTCGTCACCGGGGGAGGTCGCGCGTTTACGTGAGCGTCCCTCGACCTCGCTCCGCGCTGCCTTGGGATTGATTAATTTTTCTTCTTCCCCAAAAGCCGACTGACGCCCCAAAAGCTCCGCGATTGCCAATCTATCCGCCTGTTCTGCTCGTGTAAAAATCTCAGGTCGCACGAACCCCTGATCAGTGTTTACCGATGGGAAATGCTCTGTTTGTGTTTGTACAAAAAGAGCATGGCACATGCACGCGCACACACCGGCGCCCCATCTCCCTGCCGTCTTATCTCAGTTCTCAACGCCCTGTCGCGTAATAATGATCGCGCGAATTTGTACGGCCGTCCATAAGCACGCAACAACTCTCAATGCATTATGTAAACTTTCGAATCCCTGCCTTGTATCCCAACTGGAGGCGGGGACGATTAATCGACGACTTTATTACTGGTCGATCACTCATGCCCCCCACCCCCCTTCCCCTTTAGGTGTGGTGGCCGAATCCCACATCCCCTTTTCCGAAGGCCGTAAACCCCCCTTCAAACTATACCCAGTGGGTGATGGTGGACGACGATAGCTGATGATGGCCGATGATGCCGATGACGGTTCCCACAGCCCCACGCCCACCACCTCCCGTCCAGAGACACAAGCGGGAACAGACGTGAGACTTTTTTTTCCACCCGCAATTATTTTTTGAGTGATCCGATCAGTCGGGCAATCGATTCTATCTATTTTTTTATTTTACCAGGTGAGGCCCACTGAGCTATGTAGCTCTTTTTCAGAAGCGACCTGGCCACAGATTATAGCTCAACGAAGTGGCTTATCATGTGGACATTTAAGCAGCCAAATACTCTATATGAATGTTTCTACATGTGGAGGGAAACACGGGAGGGCCCGGAGAAAAGATCCACGCGACCACGGGGAGAGAGAGAGAGAGAGACACGCAAACTCCAAATGTACAGCAGGCATTGTCAGGGTCGGGATCGAACCCACGACCTTCTGCATATCAGACGAGGGATTTAACATCTCACCACCGCGGCGAAATAATTATTGGTTCGACAGTCCGCCATCGCAGCTGTAATCTCTACCCGGTGCTGTCAGTCTCAACAACAACCTGCTCCGCATCTGCTTTGGAGAGCTCCCCTCTCCCTGTGACCCTTCTTGTGACCCTGCGGCGTTCTTCCCAGGCTGCAACTCTGCCGGTGAACGCAAGGGGCCTCCCAGCTCCCACCCCGTCACCCCGTTCCGTGTGCAGGGGTGGTTTGGTTTATTTCTCAAGTGCAACTGTCGTGTCCTTCACGTACTACATCCAGAATTCAGCACTAATAACAATATATATATTTTTTATAGATAATATTTTAATTCATGCAACGTACACCTCGAAATGCCGTGAAATTTGAAACGGGAGCGGTAGTTGTTTTTTTTTTGCACGGAGGCGTGGAGGAAAGCGCAGACAAAGTGGAGTAAGGCAGCCAGAACTCGGTGCCGCCAACAATTGCCCAAGCTCTGCAATCCTACATTTGGACGTTTGGCCATCTCCATAAATGAGTATAAATCATCATCATCACGCGAACTCCGGTCATCCTCGCAGCAATGGCTTTTGGCTAGGCCATCGAACAAAGACGGTCACCGCATCGCGCGCTTTTACATGCACTTCCGCGGCCGTCTGGAACGCTCTCCTTTCAGATATTAGGAAGCCACTGGAGCTAAGCACTTTTAAACCATCACCTAGATTAAAAATACATTTCTTTAGAACTGATTTTTGTGTTCAGTTTGCTGGCCTTCCCTGCACCTCCGATTAACACGGTCCGCTACGTACGGTGCGAAAGAAATTCAACATACACACGTACACGCAATGAGTGTGTGCGACTTTGGCGTGCGCTTTGCGGTGGGTAAATTATCGAGCAGCGCCATTGTTTATGATCAGGTCACGGCATCCCGGCGTCGCGGGTAGCCCGGAGTGATCTGCAATCTTTGTTGGCGACCTACTTTCCCAGCACGGGCAGAGAGAGGGGAGTGGGAAAAAAACTCAATAAATAAAAAAAAATGTTAAGGGAAAATGTCGTTCTGTATGTGGCTAATTGGCTCTGTCCTGCATAGGTGCTTAGAAAGTATGCAAGAAAACAGAGATTCCTTGTTTCACGCAGTAGATGCATTGAGTGAAAAAGCGTGAAGCAAAAACAATTTCCCCATAACAAATAATGTAATAGGTGGGGCTTGCAAGACACGATGCACGCACACACAGTAAGACGGCCAGACAAACAGCCGAGTGAGATGCACGTCGGGGCAAGTGCTGTTAACGAGCACCCATGAAGGCCGGCACAGCACACGAGGGGGTTGGTGGCCAACACCACGCCCGGACGCCTTTGTCTCCCCAGGGGTCGATCTAGGGGAGGTTTGGGACCGGTTCAGATAATCGTCACAGGTGTTGGCTGTGAGCAGGAATCGAACTCGGGTCGCCAGGTTCATAGCGTAGCGCGCTAACCGTTACACTACCGCTCCCCTATTAAGGTCCACACACACACACACATCCAATACAAAGCATCATTTACCATTGTGGACTGTGAGGGGTAGCGCAATTAGCGAGTACCAAAAAGGCTGGAATGGTGTCGGCTGTCCACCCACGCACCCACCCACCGAGTAAATTACGGCATTGTGATTTTAAAAATAGCAGCTGAGCACCGCATGTGTATGTGGACGTCTATTTTTAAGGCAGAGAGACCTGGGATTAAATAAAAATGTATTTTACCATGAGTGTATAGAGAGACAGATGATCATTACGACTGGGTATCAACCCTCCTGAGACCAATTGCTTTTTTTCGTTTTTGAGCAGAATGGTGAAGTATGGTCAAATAAAACCAGTGGCTGACTTGGCACGAGGGAGGCCTTCATCCAGCAATTCTGAATGGAAGCATCTGGAACGGCTTGCTGGGGTGACACGAACCAATTCATAATTTTCCTTACACAAATCGATTCTTATGAACACGCGGGCCACGAGTCCAAGCGTTTCAATTCATCGGTGAACAGGTGCATCGGTGAACAGGTGCATCGGTGAACAGGTGCATCAGTGAACAGGTGCATCGGTGAACAGGTGCATCGGTGAACAGGTGCATCGGTGAACAGATGCATCGGTGAGCAGGTGCATCGACGAGCAAATGCATCGGTGAACAGTTGCATCGGTGAACAGGTGAACAGGAGCATCGTCGAATAAATGCATCAGTGCACTGTTACAGCAAAAGCATTGCTCGCAGTGAGTAGCAGCGAGCAGCGTCTGGTACGGTGTGATGCAAGCAGGGAAAGGAATACAGGACCCCTCCCAATGGATGGCATAATCCAGCCATTACTTGACATTAATTACATGTCACGCTTAAGAGTGGCTACGCTTACCGTTAATTGGGTTTTAATTGAGTTAATCGCCTCTTCGGTTTAATGGGCTGCTGCTGCTGCTACTGTTGCTTGTGCGCCATGCAAGCACATCATTCTTCTGCAGCTCGGGGAGTTTTTGCGAAAGCCCAGGAAGGGCAGGAGCAGCCAGCCACGGCGGAATTCTGACATACGCCACACGAGCTATATGCGATTGGACTCCTTAACAAGTGGTGGCTATCCTGCACGTGGTTGCCTGTAATCCGGCACTGTGAAGGCAGCGAGGAGTGGTGGATCACCGCACTAACGCCGTGAAACTCCCTTCCCCGCGGGTGGGCGTCGGGAAGGTGCCGTGCCCTGGCTTGCCAAGAAGGCGGTACAGGTAATAAGTGGCCTCCATCCGTTCCATCTGCGTGAGCTAGCGTTACAGTTTCACACGTATGGGTTTTTTTTTCCGGGTGCTCCCGCTTCCTCCCACATGTAAACACAGTGCTCATTAACCCTAAAATCTTTATCGGAACGCCTTGCGGGCTCCCACAAGGCCTTGCGGGCTCCCACAAGGCCTTGCGGGAGGGCGTGGCACAATTTGGCACCAGCTATCACAGAGTGCGGTCATGTCGCTACGGTTCTCTGCGGCGAGTACAATGTCATTAAAAAATAATGGCGCTACACCTCTCTAAATAGAATGTATGCTGAACCGCTTGCGCGTTAAAAGATTGAGGGGTGAACGGGACACCCACCCTGCAACTTGCGGACATCTCGGAACGGGAAAAGGTTAATTGGGTGACAACACCTTCACATATGGAGGACCGCAGAGCTTGGAGGGGAATTTGCAGCCGGGTCAAAACGCCTGGCTGCTGCCTCTCCGCTCGTCCGTGGTTCTTCCTAATGGCACCTCTGAGTCGCCCTCTCTCTCTCTCTACGAGAGCGATGAGTGAACATTGTGTGCGGCAACTGCGGAGCGTTACCAGTTGAAATTACAATTATAAAAAAAACACTGCTAGTTATGACTAAACACACTATAAGAGCAAATGAAGAAGTTCAACAAAAACTTAGACGGGCAATCATTTACCGAGCAAGAATCTCTTGAGTAAGAACAGAATTGACCGTCGCTACTCATAACGCACGGACTCTGTGGACCAAATCCAAACTTGTTGAACTGGGTAGAAATAAAATTGAACACAATTGCTATCAGCGAGTTGAGACAGTAAGGTGAGGGTGGTGAGTATAGCAACAGATATTCCCAAACAATCGATGTGAACGTGTACCTGGGCTAAATAAAAGCCTAGTGATCGCTCCCGTACTTGTACACGGAGGAAAATAAACTTTTGTCCATGAACGTTAAGGCTAGTGCGAAATATATTCGGCCCCGCATATCCTAATGGCCACTGTTAAAACTTGCGGATCCATATTGTGAACGGTGCTCTAAAGATAGAAGAGCCTTCATCGATTTAAATGTTTTACTGGATTCATTCTCAGTCACAGGAAGTATCAGTGGTCCTCTTAAACGTGTCAAGTCAGGGCTACTCACATCGAGACAGCACGCATCATGGGGGGGGGGGGAGATGTTATCGCCCTCGCCTGGTATGCAGGAGGTCGTAGATTCGATCCCGACCCTGACGCCTGTATATTTGGAGTTTGTGTGCTCTCCCTGTGGTCGCGTGGATTTTTGCTCCGGGTCTTCCGGTTTTTGCCCTCCACAGATTATTTTGCTGCTATATATTTCCACGTGATAAGCCGCTTCGTTGAGATTCTGAAAAAAGAGCTAATATATAGCTCAGTGGGCTTTACCTGGTGAATAAAAGAATATAGTAAAAATAACAAGAACTTCGGTATGACGTATATATGAATGTCTGGAACCAACGTGAAGCCAAATACCGCGACCAAGTCACCAAAAATATCAACGAGCTGTGCTCATCCTCAGCCATGGTCACTCCACTGCTGGATGCAGGCCTCCTCCGTCCCAAGCCGTCGCCGCCGCCACATCTCACAATCCCGCCGATGTTGAGAGCGCCCGCGTGACATTCCGCACACCAGCCCATTCCATCGCTCCATCTAGCCGCTACGTTATTATTCTTGCCCAAACTTCCCTGCTCGCCGTGACGCACCCCCGGGCCAAGAAATGCACTCCATCTCGTCAAATATCGGACCCCCAAAAATGACGACGAATGTTTCGCCACCGCCATTAGGTATACCCTCTCTATCCGTGCACCGGCGTGGATATTAAGAGGAATTATTGCAGTTCCAGAGGCCCGCATCGGGCTCAAATTGGATCGGCGCAAACTCTCGCGGGAAATGTGTGGATAATGCGAATGGACGCGCAGATTGTTTGGGTGCTCGTGGCTGTGCTGCACGTGGCCTGCAATCGGGCACTTTGCAGGAAGCGAGAGCTGAGGGGAATCACACACAAATGTTGTGCACCTCCGATTAGCACGGTTGGCTACGTATGGTGTTTAAGAAGTTCAACAGGCATACGTAAGTACGTACAAAACTGCCTTCAACATGGGAGTCCATTAGGTTTACATGTTCTGGCTCGCCAGGAGAAGGCGGAAAAGCAATAATGTGGACTCCGTCTGTTCGAGATCGAGTGTTGTCCCCTCGCACCGGCTCACCGCGTGGCTGCTGTATTCCCCGCTCGTCTGTGGCTCCTCTTCACGCCTCCTGGGTCGATCTCCCCCTCCGAGAACGAGCGAATACTGTGCGGCACATTACAAGGTGAAATGATTATTAGAAAAGCAAGGTCTTTCGTTAAATTTGAGGGTGCAGATCCCTATGAACATCAGGCCAAAGGGGTTTAAATGTATATTCTTTTGTACTCCTACGATTGTGCATTCACAAAGCGCAATACGTAAAGACGAGAATGTCTGTCACACCTACAAATTATTATTATTGTTCAACTGATGTAACGTAGAGCGTGATAAATATAAAAGCAGGCGATTAAAGTTGCATGCCAGTCAGCTGATAGCACATACTACAATGTCAAGTGCTCTACCCATGGAGGGAATGGATTATTCATGATTTCATTTACTTTCGGCATTCACCTCCACGCACCTGGTCGCACCCGGATCCCTTTCGCGTTATCACGTTGCGGCTTTCATGAATATTGGATTCTTAAATGCGCAACACATTTTTTTGCGTGACCACCACTCCCCCCCCCCTGCCAGGTTGAGCTGTCTGCTCGTGTAGTGATGCACTTTAGAGACACTATAGTAGGAGGCACTCTGTTTATTATAGCCTTCGCAGGCACAGGGAATACTACAATCGGGTCAGGACAGCAACAGGCTGCCTGACGCACAACGCTGAAGACGAGGGTAGAGACGGTCTTCCAGATGATGGCGAAGACTTCACGAGCTCCAGGGGTCAACTCCAACAACTGCCCCGAGTCCTCTCCACGGTCCCCCTTTTATCCCCCCAGCGCAGCCCCGCCCCGCCTTGGCTACGCCCCCCTCCCAGAACCCCCTCGAAGGTTCCCGGCTTTCTCCCCTGCCCCTCCGTCACCTCTCCCCACATCCCTTCCTCCTGCCTACCCCACACACCCGCTGGCCGACAGGGTTGCTATGGCAGCCGAGTCCCTTCTTGCCAGCAGCCAGTGCTACACGCCATAGTGACCCATTCCATGTCACTCCAAAAGCACTATTCATTCTTGGCGACGATGATTTCGCTTGTGGGCATCAAGCGATACCCGGCCTGAGATCACACAGATTTCGCGGCGTCTTTCTGCCTTCCGAGGCTCCGACGTGCGGATTTCCGTCGGCGGAATGCTACGCACGAGGGGGTGCAACTATACGTACCCCCCACCCCCCCTCAAGGCCGCGAGGAGTTCAAATTTTTAGTTTTTTACTTTTACAAGGCTTCACAAAACATAATAATTATGTACACAAAGAAACAATTCAAGAGCTGGAATTGTAGTTGACTTGCGTCGCAAGCACAATCATCATCTTATACCCCCCCCCATCCCATTGCGACTCGCAACTCTCTCCTTTGCGGCTTTAACAAATTCCTCTCCTCCAAATTGTAGACGAATCAAATCGCCACCGACAGCCTCCCGCGCCAACATCACTCAACGGCACGTGCCACCAAACTTAATATGGAATACAGCTGAGTTAATGTGACGTTAGTGACGCCACTTCCTGATTCGGATCAATCCGAAACATTTTTTTTAGGATCGTCCAAATTATCACATCTAGATTAATCCCAAAAAAATATTAATCTGGAGCCACATCCTCCATATACAAATATACACTCACCCGTGCTACCCCAGTCATACACACGTTGCCCACTATTCTGCGCAGTGTTTGGAGATGCGGCTGTCAGCTTAACATGTAGGCTTTCGCGTCCAATATGATCAATAATAGGTTTTTTTTGGATAGATCGCGTAAAATAAAAGTGTCGTTAAGCCCGCCACCACCCGACACACTCAATTAGTAAGGTTTGTCACGTAAACAAAGCATGCCAATTCGTGACTAGTTCAGCACACCGGTGTGTTGGAAAGTGAACTGTAAATGAATTGTAAATGTTATGGGTTCACTCTCAGTGTGCTGAACTAGTAACAAATTAGCATGTTTTGTTCATGTGACAAAACCTTACTAGTTGGCTGTGTCGGGTGGTGGTGGGTTTAACTACACATTTATATTGACACGGTCTAACCCAAGAAACCCTCTTATGGAGATGCAGTCGGGGTTTGTACACTACACAAACCGAAACTGTACTGCAATGTTACTCACTGGGCCAGATTCGCAGCATTGACAAAGCGATGCACACGGACTTGCAGCCATCATCTGCGATTAATACCAGTACCGGTCGTCAATTTTTTTAATGCTAAAAATCTGACAGCAACAAGCCCCACACTGAACCATTCGCTAACGACGCGTGAATATCGAGGCCACTGTTGCATATCTGTTGTTGTTGTGTGTTAATCTCAGCAGAGTTAAGGTGCCAGGATAGATGGGGCCAGTGACACGGGACGTCGCGTTGGGGACAGGAGGTAATGCTGCCGGCTTATTGTTGAGTGATAAAAAATATATATATACACGTGCCGGCAACTGCTCAGACGTAATGAAGCGTCTGGTGTACATGTTTAGCACCGCCGGCATCATCACACATCTTTTATGCCTTAGGATCCAAAGACCCCGCTATGTACTCCATCTCGGAAGCTAAGCAGGTGTGTATGTATAGAGTCTGGTCAGCGCTTCGAGATTTCGTTACTGCCGTGCAAAGGGCGGGTTGTTGTTGTTGTTATTAACGGTCGGGTTGTTGTTGTTATAGGCTGCCGAGGAGAGCGCAGATCAATCCATTGTACTGCACTGATCTATGTTCCCACCTGCACGCTAGCCGGCTTCACAGAGCCACGACGGGTGAGTGTGGTGAAGTATGTTCCAACATAACACTCGCAAGGGTGGTGTGGAGGGACCTCAATCCAGCAGTGGATTTGACAAAACGAGAGCCTTTCATGCATACAGGAATCCCAATTTGAACACATGGTATCTGGATACCAGTCAACCCCTTATCATTGCCCCTACCTTATTACAGACCAATTCAGACCTTATTGGTCACCCCCGTGTGCCCCTTGTAAATCTCAACGTTCATCCCACAAAGTCCCATCACAAGGGAGAGAAACACAAATACATTTTTGTGCCCGTATTGAAACGGCTGTGCGCCGTATGGACCTGAAAACTCAATTTGCCTGTACAGGAATAGGGGGTAACACCTGGTATCTGGTTAAATTAAAACAAATCAAATTAATCTGAGAATCCCCTCAAACGTGGTTACGCGCCCTTAAAATAGCTCAATCACAGCGCCCCCCCCCCCCCCCCACACATTGCTTAGAGATTGACCATACTTCACCACGCTGGTCAGTGCGAGTTGATGTTTGGGGGGGGGGGCAGAATGATCACGCGGGGTACACTTATCAAGGCCAGGACCGGCTCAGATCAATTGAATTCGCCCCGTTCGTGTTTGCAGTGCGCTAACCATTGCGCCACCGCTCCGCGTGCACTGCAACCACGGCAGTACAGTGTCAATGTAGTCATTCGCCAATCCATTGCTGGATGAATTAAGGCCTCACCCCGCCCCCCCCCCCCCACGTCTCGTCGACCGTGTAGATTATTTGACCTTATTTGACCATACTTCACCGCGCTGGCAGCTGCGAATTGAGCTGGTGCTGAACGGGGCCTAGTACCGGCTCGCTCAATCACCAGCCCAGGCACTGATGGTTTATAGCCGTGGGCGGGAATCGAACTCGGCGCACGAACACCACAAAGCAGACAGAACAAGAGGACACAACGCACGCACGCACGCAGACAGGCGGGCGTCATATCAGCAATGAAAGTGTTGCAAGTCCCACGCGTTCGTCGAACCGGGCAACAGACACGCAGAAGCGCACGCCTCGTACCCCCTCGCACGTCCCCCGTCTGCCAAAGTGGCGCAGTCCAAGCATAGCGGGCGGGGCGACGTCACCGGAGCGAACCAAGTGCGGGCTGGTGGGGGGGGGGGGTGTTGCCGAGTTGCGAACCGCGCCTCTCGTAACGCGACACATTACGATACAAATAAAAACTGAAATATTCCACGATTATCGCGATATCAATTCCCACCGCGCCCTAACTCTTGCACAGTAAGTTTGCATTTCACATTTTAACACGAACAAATATTTACGCAAAGACCGATTTAATTATTCAATTCCCACGGTCTTACGCTGCGGTTGACTGTCGAGTTCAAATCGTGGATCGAGGGTGCTTGGCTCGGCCCATCATCCCTCCGGGGTCACTAAAATTGGTACCGCGTTGTTGTGACATCAACAGTGGAATTTCTAACACTGGGTATGGGGGGCCTGGAACACGGATACGACCATCGCCTCGGTACTAACTTGAACAGAAAATTCCATGAATGTTGTTTGACTGTCAACAAAGCGTTTCTCCGTCGTTGCGTTTGTATGATAAGTGGCGTGGGATGGGTTAATGCGGATAGAGGCTAAATTGTTGTTGTATGTATCTATGTAGGCGTTTTTTTGTGTCGATGTCTGGGAGTGGGGTGGGTGGGGGGTGTATGGGTTCACGCTCAGGCTTGGATGGTGGTGGGTTTTACGGGTGGATGGAGGAGGGGAGCTTGTGCATTCACGAGGGTCAGGGGATAATGAAAAACGAGACACAATAGGCACGGGCACAAAAGCATCGCCCAGCCAAAGCGGTCACGCAATTAACATAATTGCAATAATTAATGTCCATCATTTTCCATCCCTATTCATCATAAAAGCCCCTTCTTTCTTCTTCTTATTCTTCTTCTTCTTGTTCTTCATCATTTTACACAGCTGCTGGCACAAGACTCGCGAGTCGCGTGGACACTCCTCCAATACACTTTGCACGCAACCGCCGCAAAATGCACCGGGAGCACATCGAGATGCATTTGGCCCTCGCGAGGAAGCCATCGGTGGCCACAGCTGTTGTTGTGGTTGTAATCCACATATGGCTCATGTGGACATTGGAAATTGGGTTTTGGCGGTGGAAATTTGCCAGAATTTAGCAAAAATCACACCACGTGGGCTCCTTTAATGTCCCATTCGCAGGCTATCTCTGTGCACTTTTGTGGTTATTGGCAGAATTGTTTTTCTTTCTGGGGCGAATGTAGAGAAATCACACAATCGTGGCTGTTGTTGTTTGCAAAATGACCCAGGTTAAGAATAGCACGAGACGAATCACATGGCGTCGTTGTGGAGATCGCGAGTAAATAAATAAATAAACAGGCACAAACGCCTCCGTTCCCATGTGTGTCCCTGCACATGAAAAACTCAAGAATACAATCGTTTTTTACGCATCCTAGCAGCCGGACGGTTCTCCTTCTAGAAGTGCGTGCGTCTTTTCCAAGCAAGCCCTTCCCTCTGCCCACAATTCACTGAATGTTGCGACCAACCGCGATGATGAGCGCGGTTGGCTACGTACGGTGCGAAGGAAGTTCAACATACGTGCAACATACGTGGCTCGCAACATTGCCCAGACTCTGCTTGTAGGGCATTGAATCGATGGCGCTGACGAGGCCGTGCCGACGATGGGTTGCGTGAGAAACGAGCGTGGCATGCAAGTCGTGACGCCCGCCTATTCATTCGTTTGAGAACAAACTGACGACTCCCCGTGGCTGTGATGGTGACGAGCACGTGTGATCCAGCGGCTTGGAGGCGAAGGTTGGTGGATCACGCAGTGTGGGGGGGGGGGGGGGTTGTGAATCTCCCAAATCCGCTGGGCTGCGAGGTGGCCAGTCGATGGCGGTACAGCCAAGTAAATTCTTAAAAACTGCGATTTCCTCCCACACGGAGCCACACACACTTGTGGCATAGCTGTAGGCCAAATCTACCAATGTAACAGCAACCTCCTGAAAAGAGTCTTGAATAAATGAACTACGTTTCACTATGATATACCGTAAGTACACACATTGTAATTCCGTACAACAAAAATTGTGTGTGATTACAGTGAGGGAAAAAAAGTATTTGATCCCCTGCTGATTTTGTACGTTTGCCCAATGACAAAGAAATGATCAGTCTCAAATTTTAATGGTAGGGTTATTTGAACAGTGAGAGACAGAATAACAACAACAAAATTCGGAAAAACGCATGTCAAAAATGTTATAAATTAATTTGCATTTTAATGTGGGAAATAAGTATTTGACCCCCTCTCAATAAGAAAGATTTCTGGCTCCCAGTGGGCAAACGTACAAAATCAGCAGGGGATCAAACACTTTTTTCCCTCACTGTATAAGAAATTCACTTATTGTAGGGATGCTTTCCAAATTGTCAGATGAATAACAAGAAATCAGGCCGAAATACAAAATTTTGAACAAATCCAAAATGTCGTGATTTTGGAATATTCTGAAAAGGGCAGCGACCACAACTAATGACATCACTATCGCTGTTTTCCTGCCAAAAAAATGCATCACGTGGCGTTGAAATCGGCTCGCCGGGTTCGTAGTATAGTGCGATAACTGGTGCGCCACCGCTCCCCACAATCACCAAGCGATACACACTCACGTGCAGAGCCTTCCTATGATTTTTTTTAAATGTACAAAATTTGCAATTCAGGATTGTGCGTTAAATATTAAAACGATTGTATTAAATAGACCCTTTGTGTTTGCAGGATTACTGATTACATTGTGCACGCTTTATTGACTGTAAATTGACAATTCAATAAATTATGCAGCTTTCCATCATTTCAGTCAAATGATAACGAATATCTGGCGTTAATGCGTTCAGCAACATACACGCGCCTCGGCACAGACGACCAAACGCTCGCACAATTCCAATTTAACAACCCCCCCCCCAAATGTTTTAGATGCGATAGGGCAATTCCCCCCCCCACACACAAACACAAAACTGTCATCTGCATCATTGTTGCGAGCGGGCATTGTGCGACACTGCATAATGCTTGGCTCATGCTTGCCTGCGAAGCTATTTCTGGCTTCCAAGAGTGGCGAACGAATTGCAGAAAATGCATTAAACCTCCTTTAAGCGCAGCAGCGAAGTAAATTGTACTTATTTATTTAGCCGTGCGCCTTCAAGACCCCCTATTTTGGAGCAAAGCAAACGTTGGCAAGCTCCCGTGCAATTCGGTCATCGATGGTTGTTGTTAAGGCCGTAATTACAATATCTATTAGGGACACCCCCCAACCCCCCAATATTCAAATATGCTCAAAATGTCCCCCCAATATATTGTTATAAAATATATTTCTGTTTATATGGTTATGGTTGTACTTTATAAATCCCTAATCTCTGCCATTGCATACAATGAAACAAGAAAAGGTAAAAAAAAGAAAAAACACAGAGCAATGTAATACAATACACTCTTAGACATTATTGTTAAAAATCAATAAAAAGTCAATCCCATGTGTTAGTGATTTTTTTTTTATATCTTAGGCAGGGGAGGACCCCCAAACCCCCTGGAAGATTTGGTCCCCCCCCATGTTGACTCCATGGCTACAGCCTTGGTTGTTGTCATCTGTGAGAGAGAAAAAAAGAGCTTTAGAGCTCATCGGATTCCTCAAAGGATAAATACATATCCTGATTTGGGGGGGGGGGGCTGGGTACTGATGAGGAGATCCATGTTGAGGCTGACCTCCTTCCCCCCCCCCTCGTTCCCCTCCCCCCGCCCCCACCCCCGCACTCCCTCAATGTATCGTGAGCTTTTGTTCAGTTAAATAAAACGACAATGATGTTTCATTGGGACGCGATCCAGAGACAATTGCGTTCGGCAGCCTTGGCTTGCAAATGTGTTCGGCGGTGGCTCGGTACAAAAAGACAAAGATATCCCGCATAGCCTTAACAGACCGATCGGGCAAGTGCTGTTGGCGAGTAGCGCCGATGAAGGCCGGCAAGGCGCACGAAGGGGTGGGTGGCCAATACCACGCCTGCCTGGTCGCCTTTGTCTCCTCACTGCCGATGTTTACCGCACCAGGTACTCGTTCGAGGCTGAGTCGACCTAGGGGAGGCCCAAGACCGGCTTAGATTTTCGTGACTTGTGTTGGCAGTGAACGGGAATCGAACTCGGGTGGCTGGTTCGTAACGCCGCGCGCTATCCGCTACACTACCGCTCCCCACAACTTTAGCAAACCCCAGGCTGACCAGCATGGGGAAGTATAGTCAACCTATGGCTGATACGGCATAGGAAAGTCTTCATCCAAGAGAGGATTGACACAACGTTATAAGTTGAGATTATTGAACAGCAGGTTTGTTTGAAAGATTCTTAACATCACAAAAAGTCAATAAAATAGGCTCTGTGATCATTTTTTCTTTCGTCCACATTATGTCAATGGCGTCACGTGACCCCTGCAACCACTAGTGGCCGCTACATGCACCAGGTTATTCAATAAATGTGTTGGACATGTGAATGGAATCCGCCAACCTCGTTCGAAGACGATCGATTTACACCGCTCGTTGGTAATGATTGTTATTAATCAGCGCAATCAAACGATGCAATTAAAACTCTGATCTTCTGAGATCGCGGGCAATTAATGAACGCGAGCTGTCCAATCAGACTTGACTGATCAGCCTTCGAACCACAAACATTATTCCGCCCTTGCAAAAGTAAACTTCTAAAGTGTCTCTAATTAAGCCGCGCTGCGTGTGATGAAGTGTCGATGGTCTCTTTTACTTGCACGTGCAACAAAGGACAAAGATCCCATCCCCCGGTATAGCCTCAACAGACTGTAGGGCCAAGTTATGTGTGTGAGCAGCACCTACGAATGGCGGCAAGGTACACGAGGTACTCGGTGAGGCTTTCCCGAACAACCAAATTGAATTATTGTTCATTTGTGATTTTGCTTGACAAGAGCATAACGTTTTAAAAAAATCTAAATATGACATTTTGATTACAGGTTTGTTCATACATAATGCAATAACAACACGCATGTGTTAACCGTTTAAATGTTCGAATGCTGCAATTATTTTTAAATGCGAGTTTTCGTCATTTTTATTTTCGTTTGCAACCGGCAGAATTCCCCCTCCC